GTTAAAAAGCTCGTAGTTGGATTTTGGGTGGGAGGGGTTGGTCCGCTCTTCCGGGCGTGTACCGGCCCTTTCGCCCTTCTTGCCGGGTATGTGTTCCTTGCCTTTATTGGCTGGGATCCAGAGCCGGCGTTGTTACTTTGAAAAAATTAGAGTGTTCAAAGCAGGTCTGTGCTCTAAACATATTAGCATGGAATAACGCGATAGGACTCTGGTCCTATTTCGTTGGTCTTCGGGATTGGAGTAATGATTAATAGAGACGGTTGGGGGCAWTCGTATTCCATTGTCAGAGGTGAAATTCTTGGATTTATGGATGACGAACTTCTGYGAAAGCATTTGCCAAGGACGTTCTCATTAATCAAGAACGAAAGTTGGGGGATCGAAGATGATCAGATACCGTCCTAGTCTCAACCATAAACGATGCCGATTAGGGATTGGCGGATGTCTATTGGATGACTCTGCCAGCACCTTGTGAAAAATCAAAGTTTATGGGTTCCGGGAGAGTATGGTCGCAAGGCTGAAACTTAAAGGAATTGACGGAARGGCACCACCAGGCGTGGAGCCTGCGGCTTAATTTGACTCAACACGGGGAAACTCACCAGGTCCAGACATAGCAAGGATTGACAGATTGAGAGCTCTTTCTTGATTCTATCGGTGGTGGTGCATGGCCGTTCTTAGTTGGTGGAGTGATTTGTCTGGTTAATTCCGTTAACGGACGAGACCTCAGCCTGCTAAATAGCTACGCGGGAACCTTTCCTCGTGGCCAGCTTCTTAGAGGGACTGTTGGACGACAAGCCAACGGAAGTTTGAGGCAATAACAGGTATGTGATGCCCTGAGATGTTCTGGGCTGCACGCGCGCTACACTGATGAATCCAACGAGTCGCTTGCCTGGGTCGAAAGGCCCGGGTAACCTTCTTAAGGTTCATCGTGACGGGGATAGATTGTTGTAATTATCGATCTTGAACGAGGAATGCCTAGTAAGCGCGAGTCATCAGCTCGCGCTGATTATGTCCCTGCCCTTTGTACACACCACCCGTCGCTCCTACCGATTGAATGGTCCAATGAAGTGTCTGGATTGTGGTGATCTCGGCGGTTTGCCGCTGGGGGTGCTGTGAGAAGTTCATTGAACCTTATCATTTAGAGGAAGGAGAAGTCGTTACAAGGTTTCCGTAGGTGAACCTGCGGAAGGATCATTGACACGTGAATGGCCGATCTTCGGGATGTGGGACGTTGGCTTGCTCGCCCTTCCCCTGCCCTTTGCCCCCATCCTCCCTGCATCCGCTTTTCTCTTCCGTTTCAGCACCATCTTGGGCTTAGTGCCCAGCTGGCGGCTGGCCCGGCGAGAGGGGCGCATGGTGTAGGTTGACGGTGGGGGGAGTGGGCAGGGTCCGGGGCCTTGTGGCGTTGCTCCCCCTTCATCCAGTCTCACCTCCGCAGGTTGTTACCTCAGCCTAGCCCCACTCTCAACTTCAGGTTGGGATGGCGGTTGGTCAGGGCACGGACATCCCTGCGGGAGGGTCAGGGGCGGGATGTCGGCTGGTGGCGGCTGTCCTCGGCGTGTGTACCCCCGCTTCTTCCCGTCTCATCTTTGTCCAGACCTCCTTTCCATCCCGGCCTCGACCTCGGCTTCGTGCGGAGCT